TGCTGCTTGGCCTGCTGTGTTCATCCAGCCCTGCACCTTGTTGTCTCGGATTCTCCAGCATCTGCAGTTCCTACTATCTCTTAATTTCTTCACTGATTTGTTAGAGTTTTATGTCATAGTTCAAAAGATGTTTGCACTACAGAAAATCCTGGTGGTAAAATCTGTATGTATACTATGATAAGGAGCCACTGTACAGGTTTGGGCTTGCATGACAATTCTCTATGCTGTAAATGCATGACCATGCATTTGTAGAACAGCAACAGGGCTGATTACGATTCTTTCCTTGGCTGCTGGCTTGTTACTAACGTCTAAATTATTCTTTCACAAGGATTTGGGTGTCACTGGGAAGGACAGCATTTGTAGGCCAATCATTACACTTGAACTGAGGGACTTGCGAAGACCATTCACAGGAAAGTTATCAGCCAGCCACATTGGTGTGGGTGTAGAGTCATATGCAGGCCACAGTGGGGAGGATAGAAGGTTTGCTTTTCTAAAAGGACACAATTGGACCAGACGGGTTTTCATGACAGTTGCCAATTGTTTCACGATTGTCATTGCTGAGAATAACATTCGCCTTCAGAGTTTATTGATTGAATTTAAATTCTACAAGCTGCTGTGGTGGGTTTTGAATGCACAACCCCAGGGGGTTGTCCTGGGCTCTGGATTGCTAGTCCAGTGACATCACCACTACAACTGTTTACATTGCTATAGTGTGGAGTCTGGGCAATCGCCGGGAACTATACAGCAAGAATTAAGAGTCATAATTGTTCTATAAGGCAATTAGTAACTGACATCACAAGATAATCTCTGCCCATTGGGATAGAAAGTTCCTGGGAGGAACTAACCAGTTGTTCAAATGAAAAAAAAACTTGCAAATGCTGGAAATCTGAAATGAAAATATAAAGTGCTGGAGAAACACAGGAGGTCTGACAGCATTTGTGGAGCCAGAAACAGTTAACGTTTCAAGTTCATTAATACCCTTTTTCAGAACTGCCAGTTGTTCAGTTGTTGAAATTCTAGTGTTAAGTCTGTGCAGCTAACAGTAATGTGGGCTTACTCATAACAGGAGCTTGATGTCTCTCAGGAGACAAACATGTAAATCGAGTGTAATGTAGCTCGAATGAAGTGCAATGTAAACCTTCACTGTTAATCAAGATTGAGCTAACCTTTGCTGAAGACTTTGCATGGTTATCCTTCGCACTGTGATATCAGAAATATAGGTGAATACCGATAAGAAGCATTGGTGGGAGTGGACCTACTCAGAAGTATCCCAGATGGTACAAGTGGACATGGCCAGGGCATCAAAATACCTGTCAGTTAATCCAGTAGTTTTGATAAATAGGTATTGTTTGAGTTCTGGGTAAGCTGATAATTGAAAGAGATTTTTTTGTATGATGAGCCTGTAAATGCCATGTAGATAATTTCCCAAAAAGGTTTATTTACAGATATTACTTCAACTGTGTTGCAACCTTCGACATAAATGAAATCACATGTTCAGATTCAACAATTTGCATTTATTTAATGTCTGTAAAGTTTAAAGAAAAGTCGCATGGCATAACTAAAATAAGACAGGAAACTGAAGAAATCCCGATGAGGAGAGGTGAACACAAAATTTGTTAGAAAAATGGTATAAGGAGATTTTTAACAGAAGAAAGTGCAAAGTGCAGAAAAAATATTCCAAAGCATAGAGTCTAGAAAGCTGAAGGGTACTTGACCGGCAGTAAACGATTAATTTCAAATGTTTGGTATTGATAGGGAGTCTGGAACTTAGGGGTCATGGTCCCAGGTTAAGGGGTCTGCCATTTCAGAGTGAGATGAGGAGTTTCTTTTTCATTCGGAAGGTTGTAGATCTTTGAAATAGTCACCCCAGAAGTCTGTAGTTAATCAGTCACTTAGTATGTTCAAGATAGAGGTCAATAGATTTTGGGTTGCCAAGGGAAATGTGGATACAGCTGGAAGATAAAATTTGAGACTGGAGATCAGCTGTGATTGTATGACAGCAGAGCATGCGTGAGGGGCTGAATGGCCTATTCATTTTCTTACTACTTATGTTCTTATTTATTTTAAACACCAGGTACTGCCCAAGAGTCTTGCAGTGCCATACTGTGAAGTATCCAAAATCCTTGGGCTACCACCTATCTTAGTTCATGCAGACTGTGTTTTAACAAATTGGAAGAAAAAAGACAGCAATGGGTAAGAACTTTGATTCTGCCATTCATGTATGCAGACTTTGCATGTTAATTTTTCCCTCCCTGGTGTTGTACTGGTAACGGTGAGAAAGATTGGTAAGAATGAAAAAAATTCAAATCTTGCTTCAAGAATATTTTTTCCAGTTTTCCATTTAAACTTTAAATGGCAATTTCAGAATTTGCTCAGGAGGGTTGACTACCTTATTTCCCTGCATTTGCATCTCATTAAGACCTTAAATGGCATAACCTGTATACCACTTCTAATTCTCCGCTACTTACCAGACAAACTAGACAGCATAAATTCTTGGCATGTAAATCGGAGTGGGTATCAGGTGGCAGCAACTCACTGAACGCAGGCAAATCGGACTAGTTTAGTTTGGGAACATGGTCAGCATAGACTAGTTGGACCGAAGGGTCTATTTCCATGCTGTATGACTCTATGCCTGCAAATCCCAGCTACCATCCAACTTTGTCTTCAACACAATGTCATTGGTCTTCCATGAATGCCATCTTCCTACTTCTACACAGGTTGGCATAACCTCACCACATCATCATGTCCACTCTTGAACCAACTTACCTACCACCTTGCCTTGGATCTCATAGGCATTTACGACTTGTGTGTTTCTGCCAGGTTGCTTTGTGTGCACATGTACCTTATGCATCTGCACAGGGTGCCTCTTATGGATCTTAGCTTGCTTTCATAGTGTATATTTGAATTGTGTTGTCTTACAAGTTTCCAACCTCTGCATACTTTCTGCCCCTTTTTTAGCACACAGTCTTCAGTGCTCATTTTCAGGCTGCAGGCCTCTGTGCCTTACATTAGTTTCTAAGACAGAGGGAGAGGCAGACAGCTTGTCATGATGGGAAGCACCAAATAGTCATGAATAAAGATGGATATGTTGCTCCATGGAACCAGGCTACATCAATGTCACAACTGAAGCATGTGTCATCAGATTTTGCAATAAACACACCACATCTGCTTGAAACAAATGGTTGTGTGTGAAAGTCATTGGGGAGCATGCTTCATCACATCATGAGGCGGAGACAGAAGATATAGCTTCTTACTATGAATAGGGTCATTTTTGTTCAGACCTGAAATGAAGCCTGTTGGAATATTTCTCTCGCATATCACTCTCTTTTTATAACTGTATAACTTTTTATAACTTTATAACTTTTTATAACCTTGGTAATCTACAGATCATACAGTCATAGAGTCATATTGCATGGAAATGGACCCTTTGGTTCAACCAGTCCAAGCCAACCATGTTCCCAAACTAAACTAGTCCTACCTGCCTGTACTTGGACTATACCCCTCTAAACCTTTTCTATTTATCAACTTATCCAAATGTCTTTTAAACATTGTAACTGTACCTCTATCCATCACTTTCTCTGGCAGATCACTTGACGCATGAATCACTCTCTACGTAAAAAAGTTGCCCCCCATGCCCTTTTTTAATCTTTCTCCTCTCACTTTAAGACATACCTCCTAATTTTGAACTCCCCTGCCCTAGGGAAAAGACCCTTGTCATTCACCTTATCTATTCTCCTCATGATTTTATAAACCTCAATAAATTCACCCCTCAACCTCCTATGCTCCAGTGATAACAGTCAGCCTAGCCAGTCTATTTTTATATTTCAAACCCTCCATTCCTGATTTATCTTTTCTGAAATGTCTCCTGGTTAATAATGTCCTTCCGATAACAAGGCAACCAGAATTGTACACAGTACTCCAGAAGAAGCCTCACCAATGTCCTAAAAAACTCAATATGACGTCCCAACTCCTAAACTCAAAGGTGTGAGCAATGAAGGCAAGCGTGCTAGATGCCTTCTTAACCACTCTGTCTACCTGTGATTCAAATTTCAAAGAATTATGCACCCATACCCTTTGATGACTTCAGTTTCTACCTATTTCTTCCATAAATATAGGCCAGGAACTTCATCACCACACCATTCTGTATTAGAAAATTCCACAAGTTCACCACCCTCTGAGTGAAGAAATTTCTCCTCACCTCAGTCATAAATAGTCCACCCTGTATTTTGAGACCAGGACCTCTTGTTCAATAGCCTCCTGGTCAAAAGAAACATCATCCCTGCATCCAGTCTGTCCGTCCCTCTCATAATTGTGTACATTTCATTAAGAAACTTTCTCAATCTTCTACACTCTTCTAAACTCCAGTGAATTCAGGCCTAGTTGACACAATCTCTCCACATACAATGTTTTCATCCCAGGAATCAGTCTGCTGAACCTTTACTGCATTCCTCTTCTGGCAAGTACATCCTTTCTGAGGTAAAAACATCAAAACAGTGCACAAACGTCCAGGTGTTATCTCACCAAGGCTCTGTACAGCTGCAGCAAGATGTCATTACTTGCGTGTACAAATCCTCTTTGCAATGGATGCCAACATATGATTTACCTTCCTGTTTGCCTAACATTTGCTTGCTGCATCTGCATGTTTTCAATCAGTGACTAGTTTACAAGAACACCTAGATTCTTTTGCATATCAAAATTTCCTAATCTATCTATTTAAATAATATTTTGTTATTCTGGTGAAGTGGATAACTTCATATTTGTGCATGCATTGCTGCATTTGCTATGTATTTGTTCACACACACAGACTGTTTAAACTGCCTTGAAGTCTCTTGATTTCCTCTTAACACTCATAATTTCTCGTATTTTTATATTATCAGCAAACTTGAAAATATTGCATTTGACTTGCTCAATGAAATAGTTGATGCCTTTGGGAATAGCTGGGGCTCAAGCACAGATCTGACACCATACTAACCAACACTTTCCATTCTGAAACAGTCCCATTAATTCCTATTCTCTATTTCCACTCTGCTATTCAAATCTTAGTCTCTGCTAGATATCACCCTCCATCCCATCTTGCGCACTCACGTCTTCTGTGGGACATTATTATGACTACAAATTCATATCACTTTCCATATTAAAATTATCACTTACATATTATATAAAATGTATGTGAATTTGTGACGGCTACTAATTGTTGCTTCTTGATGTAAACGGCAGAAAACGCTAAAATTTTCTTTTCTTTTCATATCAATCTTTGATGAATATTTCCAGGACAATGGAGCTGAGGTAAGGGCAATACTGTTCTTTTCTCCTTTGAGATGATGCCTTTTAATGTAGGAACAGATGTAAGCAGACAATGTGATGACAGAATTAATAGCCTCCTGTCAAATCTGAGGTCAATGCAACTTCTTTGCAGTTCAGTAAAAACAAGTCTACAACTGGTTCAATTTCATTCCAGTGGATAAAGACTCTTAAGATGCTTAGATAGAGATACAATAATTAGTTTTTTTCACTTGGCATGTTGAATTTTACTCAAATAGCTTTAGGCTTATGAAGTAAACTTACAGAATTTTCTGTTTCGAGATTAAAATGGGGAGTCAGTTCGATGACCACTACATTGTTGTGGTTTGTGAAAGTAAGAACTATGGGCCAAATAGCCTTTTACCGTATTCCATGTTTTCTCAAATTGTAAAGGTAACTTGTAATTTTACTGCACTTGTAAGTTTGCAACAGTTTCCCATCTTTTGGTGTGGGGAGGAAACCTAACTTGATCTCAGGAGGTTTAATTACACAAATTTATCAAACATCAGATGAACATGAGTTTATGCTTGTTCTTGGTTGCAACTTTGAAGCTGAATTTGATGTCTTATTTTTGAACACACAAATGCAGCTCCTGGATGGATCCATTAATTCCCAAGTCAGATGAAAAGAATTTTTGCCTCCTTTCTCAGCTGGGTTGTAAGGTTCCAAACTCCAATGGGTTTGAGAAGTATAAATTCACTGCAGGGCCTTTTTCTATGCTGTATGACTCTATGACCCTAGATTATAGACAAATCTGTGTACAACCTTGAAACAGTTGGCATTGCACTTGTATTTTGTGTACCTTATTAAAGTCATCATAGAATGATAGCTTATTCTGATATGACAATAGAATATCAGGATGAGATGTGGTAGTAGTGATAGAGTCATAGTCATAAAGTCATACAGCATGGAAACAGACCCTTTGGTCCAACTTGTCCACACCAACCAGGTATTCTGAAGTGAACAAGTCCCAGTTGCCTTTGTTTGGTCCTTGTCCCTGAAAACCTTTTCTATTCATATACCTGTCCAAATGTCTTTTAGATGCTGTAATTGTACGGACCTAGCCACTTCGTCTGGCAGCTCATTCAATATTTCAGCCTCTGCGTGAAAAAATTGCCCCTCAGGTGTTTTTAAATCTTTCCCCTCTCACCTTAAACCTATGCCCTCTAGTTCTGGACTCCCGCCCTGGGGAAGAAAGACCTCGGCTAGTCACCTTCCCTATGTCTCTCATGATTTGATAAACTTCTTTAAGGTCACCCCTCAGCCTCCGACGCTCCAGGTAAAAATATCTCAGCTTATCCAGCCTCTTCTTAAAATTCAAACCTTGCAAATATTTTCTGCACCCTTTCCAGTGTAACAACATCCTTCTGATAACAGGGTGAGCAGAATTGTATGCAATATTCTACAAAGGGCCTTACTAATGTCTTGGACAGCTGGAACATGACGTCCCAACTCTTGTACTTAATACCCTGACCGACGAAGGCAAGTGTGCCAAATGCCTCTTTCACCATCCTGTTTACTTGTGACCGCACTTTCAAGAAACTGCTTACCTGCACCCCTAGGTCTCTCAGTTCGACAACACACCCCAGGCGCTACCATTAACTATGTAATTCATGCCCTTGTTTATCTTAGCAAAATACAATATCTCCCATTTATTGAAATGAAACTCCACCTGCCACTCTTTGGTCCAATGGCCGAGCTGATCAAGACCTTGAGATACTCTGAGATAACCTTCTTCACTGTCCACTATCTGACCAGTTCTATTGTCATCTACAAACTTACTAACCAACTAAACGTACTATATTCTCATCCAAACAATTTATATAAATAACGACTATCAGTGGACCTAGCACCAAGCCCTGTGGCACACTGCTGGTCACAGACCTCCAGTAAGAACAACAACCCTCTGTCTCCTACCATCAAGCCAATTTTAAATCCAAATGGCTAGTTCTCCCTGTATCCCATGTGATTTAACCTTACTAATCTGTCGACTGTGCAAAATCTTATCGAAGGCCTGCTAAAGTCCATGTAGACAACGTCTACTGCTCTGCAATCATCTATCTTCTGAGTAAACTCTTCAAAAAAACTCAAGTTTGTGAGACACTATTTTCCCTATGCAAAGCCATACTGACGATCCCTAATCAGTCCTTGCATTGCAAAATGCATGTAAATCCTGTCTCTCAGAATCCCCTCCAACAAATTACCCATGACTGACGTCAGACTCACTGGTCAATAATTCCATGGCTTCTCCTTGCAGCCTTTCTTAATCAGTGGCACAACAATCACCACGCTCCAGTCTTCTGGCACCTCACCCGTGGTAGTCGATGATATGAATATCTTTTCCAGGGGCCCCACAATTTCTTCCCTAGTTTCCTACAATATTTTTGGGTGCACCTGATCAGGGTCCGGAGATTTATTATCTTTATGTGGTTTAAGACCTCTAGCACCTCTGTTATAATGTGGACTCTTTTCAAGATATCACTATTTATTTCCCCAAGTTTCTTAGCTTCCCTGTCTTACTCTACAGTAAATACTGATGTGAAAACTCATTTAGTATTTCACCCATTTCCTGTGATTCCACACATAGACGGCATTATTGACATTTAGGGGCCCTATTCACTCTCCAGTTACTGTTCATTCACCCCTTATGAGTGTCATAACATTCCTGCCATTCATGCTGTCCTACGTTGAACAAGAGTCTTCAGCTTGATTGAATCTGCGCGATAATAATTATCTGCTGCAAGTCTGGTTATCTGGCTATAAAGACTGGTTGTACCAACTGTTGATGAAAATGGGGACATATCTTTGTATTCACACACATCGACAACCTACGTCCTGCACTTACATCCTGTGAGTTTGAGCAGGAGTGGAATTTTCAGGGGCGTATAGCCAGTATGATCTGGAGAACACAACTGAAGCATGTGACTATTTCTTGCTACAAAGACAAGCATTGACCACTGCATGTATCTGTAATTCACTGAAAGGATGATCCCACGGAAATTAAAACAGCCATGTTTGATACAATAATGGGTGTATTTCTATGAGTGGTTAAGGACATTCAGAAGCCTTTGGAAAGAACACTGTCTCTGCTGTTTCAATCCCAGGTTCCATCATGTTGACTGCTAAAATTATCGATCTTCCCAGTTGTGGCATGTATCATCTGGGCAGGCATGAAGATCCATCCAAGAAAACTTGAATGTTCTGATGAACAGTCACTGGACTTGAAATGTTAACTGTATTTTCTTCCCACAGGTGTTGCCAGACCTGCTGAGTTTCTCCAGCAATTTCTGTTTCTCTTTCAAAATTTGAATGTAAGACAAACGTGTGAGTGTGTTTTTCTCCAATCTACTTTGGAGGTTCTATCACTAAAAAGATTTTCACGAGCACCATCTTTGAGATCTCCAGTCATACAGTCATTCAGATACACACCACGGAAACAGACCCTTCGGTCCAACTCATCCTGACCAGATATCCTGTATAAATCTAGTTCCATTTGCCAGAACTTGGCCCATATCCCTCCAAACTCCTCCTATTGATGTACCCATCCAGATGCCTTTTAAATGTTGTAACTGTATCAGACTCCACCACTTCCTCTGGCAGCTCATTCCATATATGCACCACTTTCCGTGTGAAAAAGTTGCCATCAGGTCCCTTTTATACCATTCCACTCTCACCTTAAACATATGCCCTCTAGTTTTGAACTCAGCCCCCCACCCTGGGGAACAGACCTCGTCCATTTACCCTAAACATGCCCCTTATGATTTTATAAACTTCCATAAGGTCACTCCTCACCCTCTGACGCTCCAGGGAAAATAACCCCAGCCTATTCAGCCTCTTGCTATAGCTCAAACCCTGGTAACATCCTTGTAAATCTTTTCTGAACCCTTTCAAGTTTCACATCAACCTCCATATAGGAGGGAGACCAGAATTGCACGCCATACTTCAAAAGTGGCCGAACCAATGTCCTGTACAGCTCAACATGACCTCCCAACTCCTATACTCAATGCACTGACCAATAAAGGCAAGCATACGATACGCCTTCTTCACTGTCCTATCTAACTGCAACTCCACTTTCAAGGAAATATGAATCTGCACTCCAAGGTCTTGCTATTCAGCAACACTCCCCAGGCCCTTGCTGTTAAGTGTATAAGCCCTGCCCTGAATTGCCTTTCCAAAATGCAGCGCCTCACGTTTATCTAAATTAAACTCCATCTGCCACACCTTGTCCCATTGACCCATCTGATCAAGATCCCGTTCTATTCTGAAGTAACCTTCTTCGCTATCAAGTACACATCCAATTTTAGAATCATCTGCAAACCTACTAACCATACCTCCTATGTTCACATCCAAATCATTTATATAAATGATGAAAAGCAGTGGACCCAGCACCGATCCTTGTGGCGCACTGCTGATAACAGGCCTCAGTCTGAAAAGCTACCATCCACCACCACCCTTTGTCTTCTACCTTTGAGCCAATTTTGTATCCAGATAGCTAGTTCTCCCTGTATTCCACGTGATCTAATCTTGCTAACCAGTTTACCATGAGGAACCTTGTCAAATGCCTTACTGAAGTCCATATAGATCACATCCACTGCTCTGCCCTCATCAATCCTCTTCATTAGCTCCTCAAAAAACTCAATCAAGTTGATGAGAGATGCATGCACAAAGCCATGTTGACTATCCCTAATCAGTCCTTTCCTTCCCAAATACATGGAAATCCTGTCCCTCAGGATTCCCTCCAACACCTTGCCCAGCACTGTGTCAGACTCACCGGTCTATAGTTCCCAGGCTTTTCCTTACCACCTTTCTTAAACAGTGGCACAACATTAGCCAACATCCGGTCTTCTGGCACCCCACCTGCGGCTATCGATGATACAAATATCTCAGCAAGAGGCCCAGCAATCTCTTTCCTCATTTCCCACAGAGTTCTACCATACACCTGATTAGGTACTGGAGATTTATCCACCTTTATGCATTTGAAGATGTGCAGCACCTCCTCCTCTGTAATACAGACATTTTACAAGATGTCGCTATTTATTTCCCCACCTTTTGTATCTTCCATATCCTTCTCCACAGTAAACACTGATGCAAAATACTCATTTAGTATTTCTCCCAGCTCCTGTGGTTTCACACATTGTTGATCTTTAATGGGCCCTATTCTCTCCCTAGTTACCCTTTTGACCTTCATGTATTTGTACAATCCCTTTGGATTCGTCTTAACCCTGTTTGCCAAAGCTGTTTCATGTTCCCTTTTTGCCCTCCTGATTTCTCTCTGTAGCATACTCCTACTGCCTTTATACTCTTCCAGGGATTCACTTGATCCTTGTTGTCTATACCTGACATGTGCTTCCTTCTTTTTCTTCACCAAAACCTCAGTTTCCCTAGTCATCCGGCATTCACCACACCTTCCAGCCTTGCCCTTCACTCTAACAGCAACATACCATCTCTGGACTCTCGTCATCTCAATTTTGAAGGCCTCCCATTTTCCAGCTGTCCCCTTACCTGTGAACATCAGGCCCCCCCAATCAACTTTTGAAAGTTCTTGCCTAATACCGTCAAAAATCGGCCTTCCTCCAATTTAGAAATTTAACTTTTAGGTCCGGTCTATCCTTTTGTCGCTATATTAAAACTAATAGAATTATGGTCACTGGCCCCAAAGTCGTCCCCCATTAATGCCTCAGTTACCTGCCCTGCCTTATTTCCCAAGAGTAGGTCAAGTTTTGCACCTTCTCTAGTAGGTCCATCTACATACTGAATCAGAAAATTTTCTGATACACTGAACAAATTCCTCTCCATCCAAGCCTTTAACACGATGGCAGTCCAAGGCTATGTTTGGAAAATTAAAATCTCCTATCATAACCACCCTATTATTCTCACAGATAACTGAGACATCCTCACAAATTTGTTTCTCAATTTCCCGCTGAGTACTGAGGGGTCTATAGCACAACCACAATAAGGTGATCATTCCTTTCTTATTTCGCAGCTCCTCATATATAACCTCCATGGACGTATTCCCAGGAATATCCTCCCTAAAGTACGACCATAATGCTATTCTTAATCAAAAACGCTGCTCCCCTTTCTATCTTTCCGATAGCATCTATACCTGGAACATTAAGCTGTCCATCCCTGAGTCACATTTCTGAAATTGCTATGGTATCCCAGTCCCATGTTCCCAGCCATGCCCCGAGTTTAGCTGCCTTACCTGTTAGGCATCTTGCATTGAAATAAATGCAGTTTAACTTATCAGTCCTATCTCATTCTCTGCTTTGTTCTTCCCTGCCGTAACTGTTTGACTTACTCCTTTCCCCACCTGTCTCAGATTGCTTTTTTTCCTCACTAGCTTCCTGGGTCCCACCACAAACCACCCTCCCTCCCCAACCTCTTAGTAATTTAAATCCTTCCAAACAGCTTTAGCAAATCTCCCCTCCAGTATATTAGTCCCATTCCAATCTGTCCTTCTCAGAGGTCACTTCTTCTCCAGAAGAGATTCTAATGATCCAAAAATGTAAATCCTTCTCCTCAGCCACACATCGGTCTGCTCTATCCTCCTTTTCCTACCCTCACTAGCTTGTAGCAGTGGGAGTAATCCAGATATTATTCCCCTCAAGGACCTCTATTTTTAAATTGCTGACTAACTTCCTATATTCTCTCCTCAGAATCTCGTCGTTATCTCTTCCTATTTTGTTAGTTCCAACGTGTACAACGACCTGCTGCTGGTCCCTCTCGCCTTTTTGATAATATTCTGCACCCTCTCCAAGTTATCCTTGATCCTGGCCAGGAAGGCAACACAAAGTCTGTCTGTGCCTCTGACTAGAGAATCCCTCGTCACAATCGACCACATGGAACCTGGCGTACTCCTTGTTACGTTAGAGCCAGTTTTGGTCGCAGAAACCTGGCTGTCAGTGCTACATTCCCCTGAGAGTCCACATCTTCCAAAACAGCATACTTGTTTGATAGGGGGATAGCCATAAGAGACTCCTGAACTACTTGCCTCCTTCTCCTACCTTTCCTGGAGGTCACCCATCTATCTGACTGTACCTTCAGTTAATCTTTCTTTCTGCAACTGCCATCCATCCCCAGATTCTGGAAATTCCTCATTGCCTGTAACTGTCACTCCAACCAATCCATGTGATCTGATAGGATTCACAACCAAGCATACTTTCTGCAGTCATAATCATCAGTAACATGGAGTTTAACCCTGAAAAGTGTGAGGTGGTTCATTTTGGAAGGACAAATTTGCAAGCAGAATACAGAGTTAACGGAAAGATTCTTGGCAGTGTGGAGGAGCAGAGGGATCTTGGCGTTCATGTCCACAGTTCTCTGAAAGCCGCCACCCAGGTGGATAGAGTTGTTAAGAAGGTGTTTGGTGTGTTAGCTTCATTAATAGAGGGATTGAGTTCAAGAGCCGTGAAGTTATGCTCCAGCTATACAAAACCCTGGTTCGGCCACATCTGGAGTATTGTGTCCAGTTCTGGTTGTCTTATTACAGGAGAGATGTGGAAGCGTTGGAAAAGGTGCACAGGAGATTTACCAGGATGTTGCCTGGAATGGAGGGAAGCTCTTATGAGGAAAGGTTGAGAGAGCTAGGGCTTTTCTCTTTAGAATGACGAAGGATGAGAGGTGACTTGATAGAGGTGTACAAAATGATCAGATGTATAGATAGAGTGGATAGCCAGAGACTTTTTCCTGGGGTGGAGGTAGCTATTACGAGGGGGCATAGTTTTAAAGTGAGTAGAGGTAGATATAGGGGAGACGTCAGAGGTAGGTTCTTTACTCAGAGAGTGGTAGGGGCGTGGAATGCATTGCCGGAGAGGGTAGTGGAGTTGGCCTCATTAGGGGCACTTAAGCGGCTATTAGATAGGCATGTGAATGATGGTATAAGGTAGGGTTGGAGGTTAGATAGACCTTAGGTTTAGGGTAAAAGTTCGGCACAACATCGTGGACCGAAGGGCCTGTACTGTGCTGTACTGTTCTATGATCTATGGAAATTCTCCCTAATCTACCACATCCGACAGGAAGAGCCCATCACTCTAGTAAAGCCCATCTTCGCATCTTAACAATCTGCAGACCCAGAAAATAGCACAGTCTTATTGCGCTAAAAACACTGCTGCAGGCTAATTTAGTACTATGTTTTATATTTGTAAAGTTTAATCAAGAGACAGATCTCAATAAAAAGCATACAATCAAAAACTATGGCTGTAGGATTTCGACCACTGCTTCCACAGGATACAGTACAATCCAAACCTTGGACTGATTAGACCGAATGGTCTGTTTCCGTGCTGCATGACTCTGTAACTGTAAGTGTGATGCATGTTCCCGGGGTATGTTGGGATATTACTGAGATTCTGAAACTGCCTAAAATCTCTTGACAAATGCTAACTAATCTGATAGGAATTGTACTCAAAGCAAACAATGCTGTAAATCACAGCGGGTCAGGCAGCATCTATGGAGAGAGCAAGCAAATGTTTGAAATCTAGATGACTCTTCATTAGAGCTGATGTGAAGTGTGGAGAGGGCAGCATTTATGCTATAGTGGAGGGGGGTGGAGTGCTGGGGAAGAAGGGGTGTTTATTGAGCAGATTAAGTGGTCAGAATGTGAGAATAGCAGAACAATGTTGTGTCTAACTGTCAAACTGGAAAGAACAGTCCCACTGCCGTGGTGGGAGGGGAGAGAGGACATGGTGACAGAGATTACAACAAGTAAAGCTAAGGAAAGTTGAGGAATGAGAGGGTGTTCACAATCTGAAGCTTGTAAAGTGCCTAGTCTGAAGATGAGATGTTGTTCCTCTAGTTTGCGCTGTGATTTGCTGGAGCACTGCAGCATTCTAAGGACAGTCAAGTGGGCACGTGAGAAGGATGCTGTGCTAAAATGTCCAGCTACGGGAAGGTCAGAGTCATTTTTGCACATAGAGTAGAAGTATTCTGCAAAGTCTGCGTTTGGTTTCTCCAATGTACAGTAAGCCACATTGGGTGCAGCAAATGCAATAGACCTGATTGGAGGAAGTACAGGTGAAATGCTGCTTCACCTGGAAGGGCTGTTTAGGCCCTTGGACGGTAAGCAGGGAGGAGGTGAAGGAGCAGGTATTGCTTCTCCTGCGGTTACATGGGAAGGTGCCGTAGGACGTGGGGGTGTGATGTTGCTGGCCAAGGAATGGACTAGGGTATCCCGGAGGGGCCGGTCACTGCGAAATGTAGACGGAGGAGTGAGGGGAAAATGTGTTTGGTGGTGGTCTGCTGAAATTATCTCGTTTTTTATTTCACGATTCCAGAGCTTGCTGTTTCTCATTTGATATTTTCATGTTTTGTGACTTGAAACCTAACCTTTTCTTCCGTATGTGCCCTTTTTCTAACTGTTACTTTGAATGTTTGATAATTACAAATCATCTCTTCAAAGAAGTCTCATCCCAACTATCTTCAGTGTAAAAGAAGTACAAATTGAACAGGTCAAAACTTCAAGGATAAGATCTGTACATTGGAACATAGTAAATTGTATTGAGAATTGATAACAACCTGTCAGAGAAAGGTTTACTATTCATAGCGTTTTAAGTTGGGACTAAGCATGGTCATTAGATGGTAATACCTTTTCTTCCAGAAATTTGGACATTATCTTCAAATTGCCAGGAGGAGACAGCGTCAGAGGATTCTTCCTGGTGACACTCGATGTGGAACTGGCAGCAGTACAAGGCATCAAGGTACACAAAATAAAAGATAAAACTTGTTACAAAATCCAAGTAGGAGAAATTTATAAAATAATGAGAAGTATGGATAGAGTTGAAGGAAGTTGACTTTTTCTTAAGATGGGGAATTTCAAGACTAGGGGGCACACTTTTAAGGTGAGAGGAGAGAGATTTTTAAAAAGACACTACAAGCAAATTTTTTACACAGAGGGTGGTTCATGTGTGGAATGAACTTCCTGATGAAGTGGTGGATGTGATACATTTACAACATTTAAAAGACATGTGGATGGATATATGAATAGGAAAGGTTCTGGGAGGGATATGAGCCAGGAGCAGGCAGGTGGGACTAGTTTAGTTTGGGATTATGTTTGGCATGGACTGATTAGACCAAAGGATCTGTTTCCATGCTGTATGACTCTATGACACTAAGTGAGATGCATGTTCCAGGGGTATGCTGGGATATAACTGAGATTATAAAACTGCCTAAAATCTACCAGTAATTTACTGTTTAAGTTGGTTGTCCAGGATCTATTTTCTGGGTCAGTTAACTCAGATGACTGAACAGTTCATTTACAGCAGAGTGATACCAGCAGGGTGGGTTCAATACACACAATGGCTGTGATTACCATTAAGGACACTCCTCAGCCTCTCCCCTCACCTGACGTTAGGTTATCACCACTAGTTATCTCTCTCGAATGAGAACAGCCGATGGTCTGGTATGACCACGGCGACTTAACCTTTTTATTTACTGAATAAAAATGCACTGGGTTTCAAATGGCTGACACTATCAAACAAACTGTTCATGGCCCAACAAGTGTGTTTAAACATACAATTTCTGATTTAATGAAGTTTCTATCTGTTACATTTCTAAACTGGGACTCGTATGTCTCAATCAATGTTGTGCAATTTTCTTGCCTAAATCAGCAGCCTCAACCCTCAGAATTGACTGGTTTATGAAATCCTGTTCAAAACGTCCATCAATGCCATCCTTGGCTGTTCTACAGGAAGAAAGTGACAATGCCTTCTTTACACCTGTCCGCATTTCTCTCTCTGTTAAGGGATGCTCGGCCTTTAGTCAATTTATGTTAGGAACAACACCACTGAGATGAAGAGATCATAAGAACATAAGAAATAGGAGTAGGAGAAGTTGGACAGTCCATCGAACTCACTCTGCCATTTAATAAATTCACGGATGATATCGCTCAATCTCTACACTTCTCAATTCCCTCAGTGCTCTAAAATCTGACAGTCTTAGTTTTGATATGCTAAATTTCTACAGCTCTGGATTTGAGAATTTCAATGATTTGCAACCTATGAGTGAAGCAATTTCTCTTCATCTCAGTCCTAAATGACAAGTCCCTCATTATGAAGCAATGATCCATACTTCTCAAATCTCCAGTGAAAACAGCTGCTCAGCATCTAATCTTTCAAACTCTCTTAGAGTTTGTTTTTGTTCATTCATTGGATGTGATGCGCTTGAGGACGTTGTGGCCAGCCACCTTGTTGAACTGCTGCAAACCAGGCACGCTCACGGTATTGCTTGGGAAGGAGTTCCAGGATTTTGACCCTGCAACAGTGAAGGAACTGTGATATCGTTCCAAGTTGGGTCAGTGTGTGACTTTTTAAAATTCATGAACAGAATGTGGGCAACACTGAGTCTGCTACTATTTATTGTTCACCACTAGTTCTCCTGACAGCAGTTGAGAGTCAACTATGTTGAGGTTGGATTCACATGTAAGTGAGACTGATAAGGATTATGCAGAAGGCTAAAGGACATTTGTGAACCCAATGGAGTTTGGCAACAATCAAAAGCGGTTAATGTCACCATTGAACTACCTTTTCATTCAAGGTTTTCGTGGACTTCAAATTTTACCACCTTCCTTGGTCAGAACATTTGCTTAGGGTGCAATATTTCTAGTTCAGTAACGTTACCACTGCACCCCTGCTTCCCCGATTGGAGGGGGTACTTGTAGGTTCCCATGGAGGTGCTGCTTTGTTTTCCTAAATGGCACAGGTTCGAGGTTTGGAAGATGCTGTCAAAGGAAGTTTGGCAAGTTGCTGACTTGCATCTTGTAGATGTTACACACTTCCACCACCGTGTGTTGGCAGTTAAGTGAGTGAATGGTGAAGGTGGTGATAGGGTGCCAATCAAATGGGTGGCTTTACTTTTGATAGTGTTGATCTTCCCGAGTGTCCTTGGAGTTGCACTCATCCGGGCAAGTGACATGTATTCCAACACACTTCTGTCTTGTACCTTCTGCATGACATTACAAGTCTCTGACTTGCTTTTATAGCCACAGTATTTCTGTGGCCAGCCCAGTTCACTTTCTGACTATTGGTGACACTCAAGATGTCGATAATAGAAAGTGATGTCAATGTTATTAAATGTCAAAGGGAGATGATTAGGCTTTCTCTTATTGGAGATGGCTATTGCCTGGTCGTCTGGCCATGAATATGACTTTTCATTTATTAGCCCAAGCCTGAAGGTTACTTTAGATCTTGTTGCATTTGAGCATAAACAGCTTCAGCATCTGAGGAGCTGTGAATGGCACTGAAAACTGTGCAATCAGCAATGAACATTCCAACATCAAATCTATTGATGGAAAGAAGGTCATTGTTGAAGCAGTTGAAGATTGTTGGGCCTAGGAAACTACTCTAAGGAATTAAAGCGCTCTTGTGTTGCAATTGTAGTGTCCCTACCTCTGAGCCAGGAAGCCTGCATTCAAGTCCTGCCTGCTCCAGAGGTGTGCCATACAAGCCTAAACAAGTTGCTTAATAATATCCACCCAGAGGAATTCAAAGGGAAAATGGAGCACCACCTTTCATCTCAGCACCAAATTCCTATTCATCAAATTCTCAAATTCCTACCCTGTTTATTCTGCACTCAGTGAACACTGTGACAATACTTATGCTTTGCACCTTAGATCAGCAGCATGGGAGGTACCTGAGAGGGTATTTCTCCTTGTACAAGAAACTCGTACTATGGGACATAGTTTAAAAATAAAAAGTCTCATTTTAACATGGAGAGAAGGAGAATTTCTTTCTCTGAGGGTTGTTACAGTGCGGAATTTACTTCCCAGAAAACAGCGGAGGTTGGGCCATTGGGTCTATTCAATACTGAGGGTTGTTGATGGATTTTTGGTAAACAGGGGAGTCAAGGGTTATGGGGGACTGACACAAAATGAAGTTGGGACCACACCCACGTCAGCCATGATCTTATTAAATAGTCTGGAAGGGCTAAATGGCCTACTCCTGCTCCTAAGTCCATTGTACCTACAATAAAGCAAAACAGGACATCCTGGAGAAATCCTAGCAGATCTGGCAGTGTCAGTGGACAGAGAAACAACCAATACGACTCTTCAGAACTGTTTCAAAGAAGTCCTATTGAACTCTGTACATTGTATTTCTCTCTCTGCAGATGCTGCCAAACCTGCTGAGTTTCTCTAACACTTGGTGTTTGTATTTCAGATCTCTTGTATCTGCAGTACTTGACTTTTATTTCTGCCTCAACAAACTTGAATACGTTGTTCTAAAGTGAGACTGACTTGGCTGCTGTCCAGCACTGATTTTGTTTGGAGCTGTTTGTATTGAAGTCATTTTTAGAGCTGAACTGAATGCTTTACATCACTTATTTTATACTATAGACTTGCTTATGATGCTCTCTCCTGAAACTGCAGCATGACTAATCTCCTTGCTGAATGTTATGCTCCTTTTCGTTGAGACAAATTAACTAACTACGAAATTGAAAGTGATTCCCTTCACTAATTATGACTTTAAAATTTTCTTCATGGATATTAATGCAATAAGCATGATTGCCCTGGACTAATTCCCAATACATTCAGCTTTGGAAATTATTCTTTCACTTGTATTGCTATTGCTATCAAATCAAACTAGTTAACATCAAAAAAAAGAATTTGAAGTGTTGCACAACAGATTTATGAGCAAAGTTATAGCTCATAGAATAAAATGGATGGTAGGAACATGGTTATGAATTTGGCTAATTGACTGGAAACGAAAATTAGTGGTTACTGGATAGAGTCAGAGTCTTACAGCATAGAAATGGAGTATTTTCACGCTGGAGCAGTTTTTGATGTGGAATCTCCCAGAGTCAGTATGAAGACCTCTGTTCTTCCTGACTTGTATTAATCACTTAGACTTTGGTTTACAGGCTACAGTTACTGAAATTGGAGCATTGAGAAGTATTGGACACAGGTTCGTGAAATAGGTGAACAAGTTGCAGATTAAATTGAATGCAGGGAAGTGTGAAGTGATTCATTGTGGTAGAATGATCATAAAGAGAGAATACAAAATACTAGGTACACTTCTGAAGGGAGTACAGGGGCGGAGAGACATGCATGTCTCTACACTTAAGTCACTGAAGATGGCAGGAGAGGCTGAGCAAGTAGTTAACAAAGTATGCAACATATTAGCTATCACTAATAGCATCATGTATAAAAGCAAAGAAATTATATTAACCATGAGTAAAGCATTGATTTGGCCTTTGAATGGTGTTTTGCACCCAATTCAAGTCAGTCTGTACAGAGACTGCAGAAAAGATTCTTAAGAAATGTTTGAGATGAGGAGCTTCAGTTACCTAGACATTTTGGAGAAATTGGGACTATTTTCCTTGGAGAAGAGAAATTTAAGAGGATATTTGATTGAAATAGTCAAAATCATGAGGTTTTTGGACAAAATAGTGTGGTAAAACAATCCCTTAGCCAGGCAGGTCTGCCTTCATTCCTCTTTAATTACCCTTATTTGAGTTGAGCACGGTTGTTTCCAACTGAAGTTTCTCCCTTCCTAAAACCAAAAGAATTGTGGATGCTGTAAAGCTGAAACAAAATCAGAAATTGCCGGAAAAGCTCAGCACATCAGGCAGCATTTGTGGAGAGAAATCAGAGGTACACGTTTCGGGTTAAGTGACTCTTCCTCAGAATCTTTTTTTCTTGTCCACCGTTGTTAATTTCACTGTCACTACTGGTGTTTGATCAAGTTTTGCTAAAACTTTTCCACAGCCACATCACATTCCTCAGTGGCTGCTTCTGGCTCAGTTACACCCCACATCGATTCTAATTCAAGTTTCATCCTTCGTGTTTTGAATCCACCCAGGATCATAGATATCTCCATCAGTTCTGAGGAAGGGTCACTTGACCCAAAATGTTAACTCTGATTTCTCTCTACAGATGCATTTCCAGCAATTTCTGTTTGTATTTCTTCTTTTCAAGATGACTGCTAAATTCTACCATGTTATGGTCTCTGTCTTTGAAGTATTTTTATACTCTGACATTCATTTGGTCTCAGGTTCATTTCCACCATTGATGGGAGGATCTAGAATAATTGGTTCAGGTAATTGGAAAAAGAAGTAATAAAGGCAGTAGGAGAAATGTTTTCATTCAGCAAGTGGTAAAGATCTGTAACACACTGCCTGAAAGTATGATGGAGGTTGGTTCAATTGAGGTGTTCAAAAGGGAACAGGATTATTTTCTGAATTATATGGGCTAGGTGGAAAAGGCAATTGAGTTACACTTGATGAATTGCACTATTTGGACAGCTAACACAGGGATGACTGTGCACATGGCCGCCTTCTGTGATTTATATGTATCTCTATGTTCCCCAAGGAAATGCAAGCAACCATAGTAATACTTTAGTATGGTCTAAATTAGGGTTATTTGGTTCAAAACTTTAATTCTTTTCTGCAAAAATCAAGACACTAATTTTGGTGAAAACTTGGGACTGTTATGGTTAATTTAAACAAATACTTTATAAAGGGCTTGTTTTTCAACCCAAAAGATTTAGTTGACTTGCCAGGAAATTGCACAGACACATTTCATTTGCAAATGTATCTGATCTCATCGATCAGGCACAGTACTAAAGCTACCTAATGATCGATTCTGAACAGTAGCTTTCTTCTTACTTGAAGGAATATTTTGCTGCAGTTCAAGCTCACATCATTTGAAAACAGTTGATGGGTTTTTTACTTAACTTCTCAGGTTAGGTTATTCAGATTCTCAATTTGTCACCATGCGCTGAACTGGAAGAATGTTTATTAAAATTGCTAAATTTCTGCTGTAGCAGACATGAAATTATGCTAGTCACAATTTCCATGACATCCATCATAAGACCCAGCAGAATTACAGAGAGGAAGGAAGGAAGGGAGGAATGACAAAGGAAAGGGAAGGACTGCATTGATATGGCACCTTTCACAACAATTAGCTGCCCTTAAGTGCTTTCCAGCCAAAGAAGTATTTTCCAAATCTAGTCACTGTTGTCATGTTGGATACTTGGCAGTAAATTTGTGCTCCGAAAACTCTCAAGATCAATGTGATAATGAGCACCAAATTTGTTTTGGTGATATTAACTTGGATCCATTGTTAACAAGAGATAACACACCTGCTCTTCAAAAGAAGACCATGGAATCTTTTACTTTTGCCTATTAGTGGTTTAATGTCTAAAAGATGTAGCATTCTGTGAGTAATGCCCTGGAATGTCAGCTTTGTATGTTCATATTCTGGCATGGGACTTGAACATATAACTTGCTGACTCAGTTGAGAGGACTATCAACTTAGCCACAATGGATATCATTCGAAAAGAGCTTCATGATATCAAAACATATATGTTTATTTCAATTTATAATATGTTACATTATCACCTTCCACAGGCTATTTCCATTGCAACTGAAGCAATACTGAAATATGATGATGATGCAATTAAAAACGCTTTGCACGATATCGCTGAATCAATTAGGAAGATGAATCAATCTTTGAAGAAGATGGATAGTAAGTTCATAATGATATTTCATTAGAATGTGTGGAAAAGCAATGGATTTTTTAAAAAAAATGCAAAGGATAGTGGGTGCATTGCTGACAGATAGACATATTGAAGGGTTTGGCAGGTGACCTTTGAGCTTTCTCTGGAAGGAATGAACAGGGAGACCTAGGGGCTTTAGCCTATATGTTGAATGATGGGCATCAGAATTCCCTGGTGCTATTTTCAGAATTTATTCTCAGTGTAAAACAGCTTTTATTTCACTTCTGCATGCTTGTCTGTCTGAACTGCATACTCAGTTCAAATAATAATAAATAACAGTTTATTTGAATGCTGCTCTGTCACAAAACTTTAGTGCACAACAATTCCAGTTTGGTGCCAGGCCACAATCAAACTTCAATCTAAAGTTCAGCAACTGGTTGTATGAATTTTATTCCATGAATGGATTCATTTGATCTTGGGTTTGTTTTATCACATAGAATTTGTTTCTCTGTCTCTTCCCCAGAGCACGTGGATCCTGAAACTTTTTATGGAATAATTCGACTCTTTCTTTCTGGGTATGTATTCACTCCTAAACAATGTCTGATTTCCATTAAGTACAAGTGCAACACACAAGCAGCTTGTTCAGCCCAACATGTCCACATGAATATTGATTCTTTATATAAGCAGTAATCCTAACCTCATGTGCCTCTCTGTTCCTGTCTTTATGGAGTGCCTGGAAATGTGGTGAAGGCAAGTTCAAATGAGGCATTCAAGATTGATGCCAAATATTTATTAAAATCCTCTCCAATTTCTTAGTTTCCCATTATTATTTCCCCAGCATCATTTTCCAAATGGCCTATGTTCACTTTGGCTTCTCTCTTCCTTTTCATATTTGAAGGTACTCTTGCTGTCAGTCTTGACATTACTGGCAAGTTTACCCTTGAAGTTTATTTTGTCTCTTTGTTTCATTTTTGGTCATCTTTTATTGGTTTTTTGCCACATTGTACGTTTTTTTCTTTCAATCTTATGCTATCCTTAACTTCTGTGCTTAACCATAACTGGCTTATCCCTTTCCAATAATCCTTCTTCTGGGGATTGATTAGCTCAGGTGGTTGGACAGCCAGTTTGTGATACAGTCATGCCAACAGCATGGGTTTAGTTCCCACATGGACTGACTGAGTTTATCATTAAGGACTCTACTTTTCAACCTCCCTCCTCACCTGAGACATGGTGACCCTCTGGTTAAACCACCACCAGTCGTCTCTCTGTAATGAGACAACAGCCATATGATCTGTTAAGACTATGATGACACATTCCTCACTGGAATATGTCTTCACAGTGAGCAATAAACCATTTGCTTAAAAGTCTGCCATGGTTCCTCAACCATTTTTGCTGCTAAACTACTTACCCATGTAGGTCTGCCTTTTTAATTACCCTTATTTAAGTTGAGCATGGTTGTTTCCAACCCAAGTTCCTCCCTTTCAAAATGAATGCTTAATTCCACAATATTATGGCCACTGTTTCTGAAGGGATTTTTTTCAAACTGTGGCATCATTTATTAATAAGGTGTAGAGCTGGATGAACACAGCAGGCCAAGCAGCATCATAGGAGCAGGAAAGCTGACGTTTCGGGCCTAGACCCTTCTTCAGAAATGGGGGACGGGAAGGGGATTCTGAGATAAATAAAGAGAGAGGGGGAGGTGGATGGAAGATGGATAGAGGAGAAGATAGGTGGAGAGGAGAGATACAGGTCAAAGAGGCGGGGGTGGAGCCAGTAAAGGTGAGTGTAGCTGGAGAGTTAGGGAGGGGATAGGTCAGTCCAGGGAGGACGGACAGATCAAGGGGGTGGGATGAGGCTATTAGGTAGGAGATGGGGGTGGGGCTTGAGGTGGGAGGAGGGGATAGGTGGGAGGAAGGACAGGTTAGGGAGGTGGGGACAAGCTGGGCTGGTTTTGGGATGCGGTTGGGGGAGGGGAGATTTTGAAGCTTGTGAAGTCCACATTGATACCATTGGGCTGCAGGGTTCCCAAGCGGAATATGAGGTGCTGTTCCTGCAACCTTCAGGTGGCATCGTTGTGGCACTGCAGGAGGCCCAGGATGGACATATCGTCTAAGGAATGGGAGAGGGAGTTGAAATGGTTCGCGACTGGGAGGTGCAGTTGTTTAGTGCGAACCGAGCGTAGGTGTTTTGCAAAGCGGTCCCCAAGCCTCCGCTTGGTTCTCCTCTACATTCAGACGAAGACTATATCTTCCGACTCAAGATTATTGCTTGCAATCAAACTTACTCCATCCTGTACTAAAAATGCCACCCTTTTCTTCCTATCTGTCCCTTCAAAAAAACACATACTCCTGAATATTTGGTTCACAGTTTTGATCGCCTTGTAACCATGTCTCTGCAATGGCGATAAGATCAAATTTGCATTCATGCTGTTCATTATCAATCAGAACAGTTTGATTCTACTCTGAACCACCTCTGCTTAATGTTGACCACCTCTATCTAATTTTCATCCCTTCTGGCTCTGGTAAAAGTTCATTAACCTGAAACATTAATCCTGTTCAAACATCACTGGATGTTTTGAGTATTTCCAGTGTTTCCTGTCTTCAGTTCAGCATCTGCCGTACTCAGTTAATGTTGAGTTTTCTGCTAATGGCAAGCCCCATTCTTCAAGTCTTCCTTCATACTTGCATTTTCTGTATTATATTGAGTAGCATCCTTCAGCTATGCCATATTCTCCCATATGCTCCAACATCTTGCCAATAATGTGTAGCACAAAACTCTAGACAGTATCTAATCTGTGGGTATGGGATCAGAGGTAAACACTTTAGGACCTGAAGCTTGTCTTTCATTCATTTTGATCATAGTTGGTCTGTTCCTTAACATCCATTTACTCCTCTTTGCCCCACATCACTTAATGTCCTTGGCATAAAAAACATTTTAATTTGGAAAATTCTAATTGACCCAGGAAGCAAAGAACATAGAACATAGAGCAGTATAGCACAGTACAGGCCCTTCGGCCCACTATGTTGTGCCGACCTGTTGTCCTACTAAGATCAAACTACCCTGCATAGCCTACATTATACTATCCTGCATATGCCTATCCAAGAGTCGCTTAAAAGTCTCTAAAGTACCTGACTCCACTAGCACTGCCGACAGCGCATTCCACATGCCCACCGCTCTCTGTGTAAACAACCTACCTCTGGCATCTCCCCTCTGCCTGCCTCCAATCACCTTAAAAGACTTTTAGGGAATTGTGTTCTGGACAGCCACGCGCATTCGTACTAAAAATTGCTTCCTTCTTTCACCCCTCCAGGCTAAGCTCTAATTTTAAGGTTATACCCTTCCTTTCCGCTGGAAATCTTTTGTCTATATTGACTGTATCATGTATCTTAATAATCTCAATACTGTACTTCAACTGAGTCATCCTTCAAGTCCTAAAATTAAGGGAATAAAAGCTGAGTTTATGCATCTTGTTCACAATTTAAATCTTTTGAGACATGGTATAACTGTGATTTCTCAATCACTGACCATTCTATTCCCTGCCCCCATGGAATCACTGACTCACGATCCTGCCATCTCTGACCAAATTTATATCTCTGATATCATGAATTCACCCCAAACCTTGGGCAGAAGCTATCTTTATTTGGAGTGACTCGAATGCAAATGAAATGGAGTAATATTGAGTCAAATCATTTGAGAAACTGAACATCATGACGTTTTTGCATTCTAATTTATAGCGAACTGTTAAATAACTGAACAGAGTTGTACATTCATGAATTAAGTGTTCCCTAGCACTTGAGCAGATCTCAATTTTATGTTCCAGTAACAAGTCTTGTGAGGATATACAAAAGATTTACTGTAAAGTGATACAATAATTATATTGCTTTCTGAAAGAACTGTAGGTAAGCTAACCAGCACAGCAAGATGATGTTGGATTTATTTCTACTTCGATGTTGCTTGCCTTGTCTTCTGCTTCATAGATTTCTCTGCTGCAATATATAAAACACAAAAGTATAAAACCCTGCAAATTGACAGCCAAAAATGTTCCAGATCCATGATCTTCAAAAGCTCCTAATGTGATTTAATGCAGAACTGCTGTGTGTTACATGTTCTCAGCAAATTATTTTTGTTGCTTTCCTCCCTCAACCTCTGTATCAAACAATTTCTCATTTTTGGGTGAATTCACAGGTGAGCCTACAGAGTGCGACTTGGGATGGGAGAAGGCTGAGTGAGAAAAGGTGTCAGTGCTGAACCAGAACTGGGATTGGGCAAGGTTGGAGAGAGTTGGAAATTGTTTTGGGAAGGGCGGTGTTCAAAGGGGAAAGGGAGCGCAAATGGGGAGTGAAGAGGTGGAACTCATAAAAGAACTATTCAGTCAAACTGAGAATACAAAAGTGCAGTTACTTAGCAATCCAAGAAACTTTCAGAATGACTACGACGGATGGGAATCCTTTTCCCTATGGACAAACCTAAAGAATGTTTCAGGACTTTGCCTGGACACTCAATCGGACATGAACATATCCAGACATGGCAAAGACCAAAGCTCTGGTCAGACCACATTTTAACTATTGTAAACAGTTTTGGGCCCTGTATCTAGACATAGATGTTTCCACTCATCAGAGAGATCAAGACCCAAAAGCACAGCCTCAGAGTGAAGGGATGATCCTTTGGAACTGAGATGAGGAGGAATTTATTCAGTCAAGTGGTGAATCTCTGCAATTCATTGCTAAAGAAGGCAGTGGAGGACAAGTCATCATGTGCATTTAAGACAGAGATAGGTTCTTGTTTAGTCAGGAAATCAAAGCTTATGGGAGAAGGCAGGTGAATGGGGTTGAGAAACATATCAGCCATGGTTAAATGGCAGTTCAGATTTGATGGGGCAAATGGCTGAATTCTGCTCCTAAACCTTATGATCTGATCAAAATTGCTCACAGTATTCCAGGTCTGATCTCAAGACCACTTGTACAGTTACAACAACACTTGCGTAGTCTCATATTCCAACACCCTTGAAACAAAGGTCAATATTATATTAGCCTTCCTGATTACCTGCTTCACCTGTGTGTACCTTTTTGGTTTTGTACACAACTATCCCCAAGTCCCTTTGTGTCGCAGCTTCCTGCACTTTTTCTACATTTAAGTAATATTCTGTTCTTTCATTCTCTCTTCCAAAATGAACAACTTTGCATTTTTCCACATGAAACTCTATTTGCCAACGTTTTGCCCATTTACTTAATCTGTTAATATCTCTCTGTGAATTGTCTGTATCCCTTTCACAACCTGCCTCTCCACCTATTTTTGTGATGTCTGCAAATATGGCTACAGTAAATTCACTTCTTTCCTCCAAGTTATTAATATATATTGTAAACAGTTGCAGTCATAGACTGTCAACCTGAAAAAGAAAGCCTTATCTCCACTCACTGTCTCCTATCCATGAGTTAATTCTCTATTCATGTCAATATACTACCTCCAACACTGATTTCTTGACTTATGACCTAGCCTGTTGTGATTACCTTGATAAACACATTGTGGAAGCCCAAGTACAACACATCTATCAGTTCCCCTTGAATTAGTCCAACACAATTTCCTCTTGAGGAAGCCATGCTGACTCTGCTTCATCTGACTATGATTTGCAGATGTTCTGCTATTACTTCTTTAATAATTGATTTTTATGCTTTTCCAACAATAGATGTTAGACCAAATGGTCATATTTACTGAGATAACAAGGTGTAGAGCTGGATGAACACAGCAGGCCAAGCAGCATTAGAGGAGCAGGAAGGCTGACGTTTTGGGCCTAGACCGTCCAGCTCTATACCTTGTTATCTCAGCTTCTCCAGCATCTGCAGTTCCTACTATCTCCGGTCATATTTACTGGCTGCTTGCCTCCCTCCCTTTTTGAATAGAATCACATTAGCAGTTTTCTAATCCTCTAGTACTTCTCCAGAGTCCAATGACTCTGACCCTGTGCCCCATTAATTTGTCCTGCACTACTACTTCAGTGATGGTGATGGTCCTTAATTCCTCCCTACTATTCTCTTATTATTGGAATCTTCAAAGTATCTTCCACTGTAAAAAACTGATGAAAACAATTTGTTTAACTCCTCTGCTGTTTGCTTGTTTCCCTGATCCTTGTATGTCGCATGGTGACACAATGGTTATCAGTGGTGCCTCACATCATGAGGGACCTGGGTTTGATCCCAGCCTTGGGTGACTGCCTGTGTGGGTTTCTTCTGGGTGCTCTGTTTTCCTCCCAAAGTCCAAGGATGGGCAGGCTAAATTGCCCATAGTGTCCCGCGATATGCAGGCTCAGTGGGTAATGCAGGGTTATAGGGATAGGGTGGGGGATGGGTCTGGGTGGCATACTCTTCAGAGGGCCAATGTTGACTTGATAGGCCAAATGGCCTCTTCCAATGCTATAGGGATTCTGATGATTATCTCAACCCATCTCCCCAGATTCATTTTCAAAAGGGCCTATGTTCACTTTGATCTCTCTTTTCCCTTGGTTATTTACAAAGAAATTCTTTTTGTTAGTTTTTCTATTCCTCGCTAGTTTACCTTCATTGTTTATTTTCTCCCTGTCTTTCTGTCCTTTTTCATCCTCCTTTGCTGGATTGAGTTTCTCCCGGTCTTCAGGGCTGTCACTGACTTTGGCCTCCTTTTTTTGCTTTTTCTTTAAACTTAATACGCTCCTTAACTTCCTTGGTTAGCCATGATTGGTTTATCCCTCTCAGAATCGTTCCTCCTGACTGGGACATATTTTTGCTGAGAGACATGAATTACCTCATGAAATGTCTGCCACAGCTTGCTTCATGTCATTCCTGCTTATCTGTTCACTCATTCACTTCAGTGAACTCTACCCTCATTTCATCGTAATTTCTTTTATTTAAGTTAAATACAGTTGTTTCCGACCCAGGTTTCTCATTCTCACACTGGATATTAAATACAATCATATTATGATCAGTACCTTCAAGGGGATCTCTTATTCTTAAGTTATTTATTAAACCTGCTTCATTCCCCATTATCCAATCCAAGATAGCCAGCTCCCTAGTTGGCTTTCTAATACAGGAAACTATTTGTAATGCACTCTGTACATTCATTGTTGTAGCTAGCCTTTCCAATTTGACTAATCCAATCAACATGAAGATTAAAGTCACCCAAAATTATTTCTTTATTCTTTTCACATGTTCCTAATATTTTTGATTTGCAGCCTTTCCCACAGATTGGTTACTGTTTGGTAGGAAGAGTATACAGATCCCTAATGTTGTCCTTCTATTGTTGGTTTTTTTACCTCCACCCATGTGGACTCGACACCATGTGAGCCCAGATCATTCTCTCATAACTGTCCTCATCTCGTTTCTTATTAACGGTGCTACCCTGCCACCTTTTCCATTCCTCCTGTCTCTCCAAAAGATCAAATATCCCTGAATGTTAAGGTCACAGTTTTGATCTCCTTGGAACCATGTTTCTGTAATGGCTATGAGATCGTATTCATTTGCCTTTCAATTGCTGTCAGTTGGTCTACCTTATTCCAATGTTTAATGCATTAAGATACAAAGCCCGAAATTTTGTTTTACGATTGAATTTCCCTCCACTTTTATCAATTCTATGTACAATATGACATTCACACATTCTGTCCCGTCTTCTATTTTCTCCTAACAATCAAACCCATCACTAACTTGCGATCTTAGCTTCTCCTTTACTTCTGATTTTATAATTTCCCATGCTGCTGAACCCCTCCCCCAGCCCCCAACAGTTTAATTTAAAGTCTTATCTGCAGCCCTGCTATGTGATTGGCCAGGACTCTGGTCTCAGCATGATTTTGATGGAGCCTGTCCCATTGGAATGCTCCCTTCTTCCTCAGTACTGGTGTCAACATCCATGAATTCTATCCCATTTTTCCCTTACTAATCTTTGAGCCATGTGTTTACCTCTTTAATCTTGTTCAGTTTGTTCCAATTAGTATATGGTTTAGATTGTAATCCAGAGATTATTACCTTTTTTAGTTCTGCTTTTTAATTTATCCCCTAGCTGCTCTTATTCCTTCTTTGTACCTATATGGCTGGTGCATACCTCGACCATGGCAACTGGATCTTTCCACTTCTATGGTGATCTTGAATATCTTGCTGCCTGCAAGAGGTGATTGCGTGCACTGGTGTGGTGGGTAGTAAGTACCGTGCCAATGAATGCGCAAGGCCACTTTACAAAGTTCCTGTTGCAGAAGGCCGTGAAATAGACTTCTTTCTGATGATCTGGTGGTTGTTTAAGAACCAACACAGGCTATATATCAGTGCCATTCCTGAATCATGCAGTTCCAGAAGTCCAAGAGTCAGGTGGAGACAGTTGGGAAGTTGCAGTCACAAACAACAATGTGGAGCTAGAGGAACACAGCAGGCCAGGCAGCATCAGAGGAGCAGGAAAGTTGACATAACATCAACGTCAACTTTTTTTGCTCTTCTGATACTGCCTGGCCTGATGTGTTCCTCCAACACTACACTGTGTATTGTCTCTGACTCCAGCAACTGCAGTTCTTGCTATCTCTGGGAAGCTGCAGTTTTTTGTTCACGGATAGTGAACAGTGATCTTGACAGCCTATGAAAATCAGAACGATCACGTGGAGATGTGGAGAAGGTAAGACTCATATTTGACTAAAATCCATGTCTCCTTCTAGAATATGAATATGATTGAGCAGAATTTTGAGAAAGGACATAACAGAGTAAGCCTGATACTTCAAAATATTTGAATCACAAATAAATTGATTGCACTCCATGGACCATTTTCAAAGCCAAGTTAAAAATAGTTGCCTCACCAAGTTGAATGAATATGTTATGTGCTATGATTCATGTCACTTTTTTATTTGCAGATGGATGGATAATCCAGCCTTTCCGGAAGGCTTATTGTATGAAGGAGTGTGGGATAAACCTAGGCTTTTCTCAGGTGGGAGTGCCGCACAAAGTTCCACTTTGCAGTCCTTTGATGCGTTTTTGAGAATACATCATGAGGAAGAGAGCGGTAAGCAAGGTCCATAATGTTAAACACAGTGCTCTTATCCCACGATCCAGTTTTTATTATGGAAAGTCATCTGCAGTGACTGCAAAACTTACAAATGTGCCTTATTGCAGCTTATATTAAATTGTGTAAAACCTGCTCAAATGTAGCTGTTACCTTCTGAGGAGTATGATTAAAATTAATGAATTTGTTCCCAATTTTGATATCCAATTTGACGTGTAATTCTTGTTACAGCTGAATTCCTGCACCGGATGAGGGATTACATGCCTCCTTCCCACAAGGCTTTTATCCAAGCAATCGCCTCCGGACCGTCTGTGCGAGAGTACATCATACTCGGCAGAAACCCTGCTCTCCGTGAGCTGTACAATGATTGCATAGCTGCGCTTGTTGATCTGAGGAACTATCACATCACAGTCGTCACTCGGTATATCACGATAACTGCAGTCAAAGCAAAAGCAGAGAAAGCCAGGCTAAATAGCTCAGCAATTTTTTTACAGAAAGCTCCAGCGGCCTTAGCGGAAAGGGGAACGGGTGGATCAGGAATCATGTGTTTGCTTAAAAGTGTCCGAGATACGACTAAGAAAGTAATGATCAATAACATTTGATGCCATCAACAGAGATTAACTCATTTATTGTGTTAAAATAGCTAACTAATATATAATTCTTTAGGAAGCTAGGCAGCTTATTTATTGGTTAAATGGGAAGTAACAGTGAAATCTTCAAATATCATCAGCAATCATTGACATTTTCACTTTAGTAGCAACACTGACATTAACTACTTCTAAAATTTCTTGCTTGGCACGTGGGTGTTGCTGGCAAGGCCCGCATTTGTTGCTCTGTCCCTAATCAGCATGTTACAATCGCATAAAGCATCAAAACAAGCATTGAGCTGAACATTGAATTGGTAACAGAGGTTCAATAGCTTTCACGTTGACATAATCAAATGTAGTTAAAATAATTCTGTTTCTTCACGTTATTTCAGGAAGGATGTAAAATCATAAGACCTAGGAGCAGAGGTAGGTCATTCAATCCATTGAATCCACTCCACCATTACTGATCTGACAATCCTCAACTCCACGCATCTCCTGTATCCCATAACCTGGATTCCCTTAATGATTAGAAATATGTCTTCTCAGCCTTGAACATACGTAATGACCCAACCTCAACAGCTTTCTGTTGAGAGATCCTCAGATTCACCACCCTCAGAGAAAAAAATTCTTATCTCTGTCTTAAACAGGCAACTCCTTACTTTGAGATGATACACTTTGGTCCTAGATTCTCTCAGAAGGGGAAATAACCTCTCTGCATCAACACAATGATAGAATTGTAGGGGTTTACAGCATGGAAACAGGCCACTTGACCTAACTTGTCCAGGCCATCCAGTTTTGACAATTAATCTAGTCCTATTTGCCTGCATTTAGTCCATATCCCTCCATACCTACCCAATCCATATACCTGGCCAAATGTTCCTTTAAATGACAAAATTGTACTCCCCTCCATCAATTCTTCAAGCAGACTGGTCCACTCGCCACCCTCTGTTTGAAAAATTGTCTCTCTTTACCCTTTTGTATCTCTCCCTTCTCATCTTAAACCTATGCCTCCTTCTTTTGCCCCCCCCGACCATGGGGAAAAGCTGTTGGCCATCTACCTTTATCTATGTCTTTCGTGATTTTATCGACCTCTATAAGGTCAGCCTCAATCTCCAACACTCCAGGGAAAATAGCCTCAGCCTATTCAGCCTCTCCTTATAACTCAAACCTTCCAGGTAGCATCCTAGGACTAAGGGACAAAACACAGATTTAAGAGAGGTACAGAGATAGTAGGAACTGCAGATGCTGGAGAATCCGAGACAACAAGGTGCAGGGCTGGATGAACACAGCAGGCTAAGCAGCATCATAGGAGCAGAAAGGCTGACGTTTCGGGCCTAGACCCTTCTGATGAAGGGT